GAAGAGCTTAAAGGGGGGAAGGCTGTTCACCTATCTGGAATTTTTGATAAATTAAGCTATGGAGTTAAAAAGACTTTTTCTATTGAATCTGTGAAATGTTCTTTCACTACTGCATACTGTTCTGTCACATCCGAACATCTGAAAGTCGGCAAGGTGCATTTTCTGATCCAGAGTATTGGGAGGGATGTGCCTATCATGCAACCTGATGTGTCCTCTGATGGATCTGAGACTCACAGTTCATCTATTGCACTGCGAGAGCAGAAGGAAATTTTCCTTTTACCTACTGTGCAGGTGTCCAACTTTCTGTCCTCTGAAGTAGCCATCTTATTAACAGAGACTGGTAACTACATAATACAACATCATCTTCTGCGTAATCTATATGCTGCCTCTAACGTTATTATGTTGCAGATGACTTTACCTCAATGGACTGCAACAACAGTGGCAAGCCGACAACTGTACAGAGCGGAGAAACCGTTGATTTCTATGTTAATCCCATCATAATATACTTTAGTGTAACTCTCACTGCTTTTGGGACCTGCTGCAAATCAGTCAATAGCAGTCAATGGGTGAAGAAGTTACAGAAACAGAAAAGTGATGTTGAATGTTTGGATGTTGATCTTGATTTTTCTGGTGGAAAATACTATGCGTCATTGAGATTGACTCGAGGGAAAAGAGGCATACTGGAGGTAATTAGGCTACACTGAAGTTGCTCTTCTTCCTGGTTGCAGAGTTTTTCCAGAGTTTTCCTCCACCTGTTTGCTTTTTATTTAAGAACAAAAATTCTATCTGGTTGGTTCAGGCAGCCGTTTTCACATCATACACTCTAAGGAATGACTCTGATTGCTCCTTGTTCTTCTATTCCCCTGGTCAAAAACCTCTATCCAGGTAACATGGTATTTTGATAAATATCTCCTTAAACATAAAAACAAATCATTCCTTCGTACTCCCTGTTTGATTAAAGTGAACATATTCAGGGACGACATAATGAAATTTGATCACAGTGTCCCACCTGAGTTTGGACTATATTTGCCCCCAGAGGTGGAGGGGTCATGGTTTTTGAGGTAAGCTATACTTACTCCTTACATAGCAAGAAATACTCGGACCAATATATTTTCATAGTCGTCTTCAATGCCTTCTTTTGCCAGATCTTGCAAGGTCTGTGTCAAATTGGTTGAAGATCGTGGAGCAAGTGAGGCAATATTGAATTTAGATACTTTATCAGGCCTTACCGAGGTCAGTCTGGAAACAGAAGATGAAGCTGGATTTCGGTATATAACAAGGTTTGGGTTGTCTGTAAGACCAATCTCAAGTAAAATTTGTGTTCCAACACAAATTGTAACTATTGCTCCAAGGCATCTTGTAATCAATGACTCAGAAGAGACAATCATCATCCAACAATGCTGTTTTCAGGTTTGTTTTGTGCCCACCTGCTGTTCCTTCTTTTCCTTCCAGGAATATGATTTATTGCTGTTTGCCCTTTTCTATGGGAGAAGGATGATTCTACAGGCATAATCACCTTGAAAAGCAAGCAGAGGTCAATGTTAAGATTGCGAGAAGAAATTGCCAAGAGGAAAGAACTTCATCTGTTTGAAAACTTTATCAGAAAGCATGGAAACGACAAAGCTAATTCGTTGATTTTCATCCAATTCCGGCCGCACAAAGCTCAATGGACCTGGTCAGGCCCATTGTGCATCACTTCAATGGGACGTTTTTTCCTCAAGTTCAGAAAGCAGCATAGTGAAGCAGTCGACGGAGGAACACCTGAAATTGAATTTGCATCTGTCAATGTGACAGAAGATGGTTCAACTCTTACTGTGCACTTTCACAAACCACCAAATATCCCACCACCCTATCGCATCGAGAATTTCTTGCACTCTGCTTCTGTCACTTACTATCAAAAGGTTGGGTAATCCTTCTAGTTAAGCACTGATAGCGTAATTTGGATTTACGAAATTCTTTATTTTTAGTGAAATTTGTGCGGTTCTCAGTACTAGTTGCTTGTTAATTACAGGATTCATCAGAGATCGAAGTACTTGGACCTGGAAGTAGGGCTGATTATGCATGGGATGATATGACCCTTCCACATAAGCTTGTAGTCATAGTAAATGGTAGTTAGCTGGCCTCTAGCATTTTTTTTGCTAAGAATTCATTGACCTCCTTACGGGCTTATATATTTTCAAGGAACTAAAAAGACCTGCACGTCTTGTGATATTCAATCTATTGAACTATCTGAAAGTGCTTTATTGAATGAGAAAGCTGGTTTATATACTTCATGCAGACTTGGATCCATTGCGTGAAGTCAACTTGGATAAGATCCGTCCATGGAGACCTCTTCTCAAGGTGACTCAACACAGAGGCCTAGTGAACCACTTGGTGTTAGAAAAGAAGGCCAACAAACAGAAAATTAATTGTGGGGAACTGAGTAACATACATATGGTAAAGGTTGGATACGAAGTATATGCAGATGGTCTTACACGAGTTCTTCGCATTTGCGAAGTTTCAGAAAGTTCTAAGGGTGACACAATGTTCCATTCTCGTTCAAAAATTCAGTTCAGAGTAAACCACCTAGGGATTCACTTGCTTGAAAAAGTGAAGCAGGTAAGTCTAAATTATATCATTTGCTTGCTACTCTATTAGCTCTGTATTTGATAGAACAGATGATTTAGTCTTCCCGTGGCGTATTCCCCGAATTTCTATACTGATTTCGTGTAATTTTTGAAGAATTTTGAGGAGAACTCTGTGCCATCCTTTGCGCCGATCCTAGTGGTGAGACTAGAAAATATTTGTCTGCAATCCTTGTTCACTGACCAGCAGAAATTTAACCAAATATGTATAGAGGTATACTTCATGTGGTGCATTTGTTGGGTTGTTTTATGGTCACAGGTGAATCGATGATTTAATTCTCTTTATCTTGGATGTTGCAGGCATTGACTGTTGATCATAAGTGGGCAGGGGCACCTTTTGCAGCCATGCTTCGCCAGCACCACCCAAGTTCCCGTGATTCAAATTATTGTCTGTTCAGATTTGTATTTGTCCTGGTTTCAAGTGGTTCTAATGTTACACAAGTCAAGTACTCCTCAATAGTCCTGCAGGTACCAAGCAGTATTTCTATCACATTTGTTGAGATTCTCCTGCCTGACTAAATTTATGTCTGGTGGGATAGAAACCAGCAGACTCCACAATTCAGTCTTCAAGTGTTGATTGTATTGCATCTATCTTTTCCCATTTCTAGGGCTTGAATCATTTATGTTTTCTGTGTGCAGCCAATTGATTTGAACCTTGATGAGGAGACTCTAATGAGAATTGTGCCATTCTGGAGAACATCTCTAAGTACAAATTCTCAGAGTCGTCAATTTTATTTTGACCATTTTGAAATCCACCCTATAAAGGTTTGTTGGTCATAAAATCTCACTCTAGTCGTCGTTTTTCTTTCATCGCTATGGCGTGCTCTGTGTTAAGGATATCACCTTGTTTATATAAATTCTCCTTTTATTAGATTATCACAAATTTTCTCCCCGGGGACTCATACTCAAGCTATAACTCAGCTCAGGAAACACTGAGGTCACTGCTGCATTCTGTAATTAAGGTGGATATCGGACATTTCCACTTTATTCTTAACTTGTTTCGCCCATTATCATTTCAGAGAAAACATTTATAAGCTGCTGCTTGTCTTTTTCCTCTTTTTTCCTTGTAGGTTCCGCGGATAAAAAATATGGTTGTAGAGCTAAATGGGGTACTCATCACTCACGCTCTGATAACTGTTCGCGAGTTACTTATCCGATGTGTAAAACACTACTCATGGTACTGTCTTTTGCTTTTTGAATTTTAAAGTTCCATGGTACAATAGCGGCTAATTTCATATGCTACTTCTAAGTGGCACTAAAATGCTGTTGTTTTCCTCTAGGTATTCAATGAGAGCAATCTACATCGCCAAAGGAAGTCTGTTGCTTCCACCGGCTTTTGCATCCATGTTTGATGATTTCGCTTCATCCTCTCTGGATGCATTTTTCGATCCTTCTGGTGGCTTGGTGAATATTCCTGGTCTGACATTAGGTAATCAATGAATGTTACTGGTATCCTTTCCTTCAGTGTCACTACTATTTTCTGTATTACAATTCATAAAGGTAAATACTCACTGCTTATATCTGTGGTTAGGTACCTTTAAACTCCTCAGCAGGTTTATCGACAGTAAAGGATTATCAGGGACAAGGCGCTACTTTGGCGACCTCGGGAAAACTGTAAGGTCCATGTTTTCCTCAGTTATGAATATGCTAGACCTTTTTGTCACTGAAGTTTTTATGCAACAACCATGTTGCAGTTAAAAACAGCAGGGTCCAATGTAGTCTTCGCTGCTGTCACTGAAATCTCCGACTCGGTTCTGAAGGGTGCAGAAATGAAGGGTCTTGATGGACTGGTGGGACTAATCTTTTTATAATTGTGATCTAATAGCAAAGATTCCGTTATCATAATGGTACTTAAGAGTCTTCTCTCTTCTTCCAGGTTAGCGGTTTCCACCAAGGAATCCTTAAACTGGCAATGGAGCCCTCACTGATAGGGACGGCTTTGATGGAAGGTGGACCTGACAGAACGATTAAGCTCGACCGTAGTCCTGGTGTTGATGAGGTGAAACTACCACTTGGTTTATGCTTCAGGGTTAACCACTAGATTGTCATGATTTGAGCTTCCACACTCAAGCAAAGAACAATAGGAAAGAGGGGAAAAAACTAGAGATCTAGGGTTTTACGATGAACTTGCATGATGTCTACTTGTCTGTTATCACACTTTCCTTTCATGAATTTCCATCAGTGAGCTCATAATGTTCATTCTGCAGTCAGTCCTTGATACTGTGGTTGATTAGATTGATTATATTCGTGCGGTGCAGTTATATATCGAAGGATACCTTCAAGCTGTGTTGGATACCATTTATAGACAAGAATATCTCAGAGTCAAAGTCATCGATGATCAGGTAAATAGCAGACTGCAAGCTCCTCTAAGTTAGATTGTTTTTGTCATTCTGAAAATGCAAATGGGTTCCTAATATCTGTACATTTGTGCACGTCAGTACTCATCAATTCTCCGTTTTGCTGGAAATGTTACCCGTGTTTCGGTGGCTCACAGTCACACTTGTGGACTTGCATTTTTAGGTTTTTCTCAAAAATCTTCCTCCAAGTAGTTCTCTTATAGACGAGATAATGGATCGTGTTAAAGATTTCCTTGAGAGCAGGGGTTTACTCAAAGTAGATCCCACAACATCCCGTCCTCTTCGTCGCCTTCATGGAGAAAGAGTAAGTCGGCGCCCTCTGGGTCCTTTTTTTCCCCCATCAATCCATATTTTCGTTCATCATATCCTCCATATTCATGCATTTACAAGCCTCTCTGATTGCACTGATAGACATAGAAAGGTGCTCGATTTGCTCATACCTCAGCTTTTGATGCCGGACAAAGCAATGAATCATTCATATAACCCATGTCTATATATTCATTAGTAAAGCCTGAGTTCATAATCTTTCGACTACGCAGGAATGGAAAATCGGACCGACAGTGATGGCCCTATGCGAACACCTCTTTGTGAGCTTTACAATTCGGATGCTAAGACAACAGGCCAGTAAGTTCGTTTCAGGTGTACGGTCTAAAGAGAAAACGGAGGCTGAGGCCAAGGAAAGCACAAGTACAACAGCCATAGTACCCGCAGGAGCAGCCAGAGACAGCCACAAGGTAAGGTTTATGTGGAGTTCAGGAATTGGAAAATTCATTGCATCGGGTATTATCGCATACATCGATGGTAGGTTGTGTCGAAATATTCCGAACCCTCTCGCCCGTCGGATCGTGAGCGGTTTTCTGTTAAGTTTGCTTGACAATAGCGATGAACAATAGTAACATCTCTTGGGGGGCTCTCTTTCTCGTCTCTAGTAATAGATAGTCTTTGATTGTATAGTTTTTCTTGATTGGATATGTCTCCCCTGAAATTTCATTTCAGTCTGTAAAATTAAGTTTTGCATTGTTATATATCATCAGAGAGAGAATGAGATGGTTGAAGGTAGAGGTATCTGTAGTTCGCACATAGCTTTTTTTTTAAAAAAATCCAAATCGGTCGTAGTGTTTTCAATCAAGAAGGGAAACGTCATTGCCGCCGAGTAATTATCATCCGTATTTAAAATGTGGTGTAGTTTTATACTGCAAAAAAGGAACCATACTGTAAATGGCCCCTTCGGCTTCATTCATCATCATCTCCTTTGTGTTAAAAGCCCCCAGTTAGTTGCGGGTTACAAACTAACTGTACGTTAAAACCCTGTTTAATCAAATTCGCTTGAATCATCACTCCATCTGACTTTCCATAACTGTGGATGAAACCAGTAAAATCGTGTTCGCAGCGCATTGCTGCTGTTTTTTCGGTGGGTTCTATTTTTTTTTTTTCGTTTTGTTTAAAGATGTTTTATAAAACAAAAGTAGGAAGATGGACCGAGCAAAGCTTTAAAGAAATAAAAAAAAGATTGGCCCACCGTTATAGGACTTCTATATCAAACAGAAACAGCCGCCACCGGTTTTGTCGAATCCTGGGGGTTCTCGGCCCAAAGTATAATCACTTTCAAGCAAAAATAAGAATAAAAATATATCCTGGTTTCTTAAAAATCCATTTCAATTCTTGTAGTTTTAGATAACGCACAACAACCGAGTGAACCTCTCTGTATATAACTACACATATATATAGAGACACTAACACGTCTATTATAATTACTTCACACGTAATAATTCAATCTCTCCCAAGTCCTGCAACACTTTTCCCACTTCTCCCTCGCATACACATCAAATCTCCCTTTAGAAAGAAAAAAAAAACAAAAGGCAAAGGTTTTTCTTTGTGATTGGTAAGAATATGGAGTACGTGAACGGAAAACCCACGTCGCCGGATCAGTTGGAAAAGAATTTCGACGAAGATCAAGTGACGAAGCAGCTACATCTAAAATCTTCAACTAAGGAAACGCAAATGGAAACACTGAACAAGAAGGCGGTTCTGAAACGTATCCGCAATCACAAGTGTCTTCACCAAATAAAGAGCTTCCTTCTATCCACCGCCACCGCACCAGACTCCGAGCAACGGTGGCTCGACCGCGGCGACGTCTTTTCTTGCCCTTAGACTCTTTCTTCCTTCGTCTTTATGTAATTTTCTTCTTCTTCTTATGATCATATTTACCGTTTTAAATTAACTCGTACGAGAACTTACATCAGATTTTTACGAATATAACGATGGTTTGTGTTTGATATTAAAAATTAATGTACCGCTTTTTTATATTTATCATTGATCAAGCGAGAAAATTTAATTTTCGAATATTAAACCAAAGGAAATTAAACAATAAGATAAAATATAACTTCAACTGAATGAGAGGGGTTTTTAAGCTAATGTCCAACTCTTTTGATGCATATTTGAGTGAACAGGAGAGACTATTTTGCTCGTCAACAAACCCAGTCAAATGTAAAAAAAGGAATTCAATCTTGGGTTCGGAAATTTAGATCCGACTTTACATTTAAGCCCATTTGAGATGTGCGGACTTAAATTTGTGATATATAAAAATCAGATTTGGATTTAGAAGAAAAGAGAAATTAAATAAATATTTAAGATAGGGAGTTTATGTGTATTAGAGAGAAAAATAATCTATAGTTATATTAGACAATTTAGATTACATATATAGATAATATAAAAATAAAAAAGTAAGGTACTTAAATAATATGACAAATGGCTAAGACAATATAAACAAAGATTTTGATGTGATATGATTGATACTTTTATTTTCTGATTGATATCTCTCTTTTATTCTAATGGCTTGTTAATGCCTTAATTAATTTTAGTATAATTTATGAAAAATATTCTTCAATAATACCTACTAGAAAAACAAACAAGTGCATCTTTCTTTCTATTTGTTAAGCCTTTGAATCGCGATTTTTCCTTCGAATCGGTCTAATTTTTCTTCTTCGAGATGCATGGTAAACTCTCTAATTACATATTATATGTTTGATAAACCCTTTTATTCACTTATTTTCATGATTTTATAATTATATATATATGTAATAATCTTTATATATCATTGTTTATGAAAATTATAACACTATACATTTATCTTAAATATGTATTTTACATTGTGATAAAAAAAAGGTTTTATACCAGATTGTATCATAAAATATAAAGTATTAACTTAATCCACATTCATGTGTATTAACATTAAATTAAGCTTGTTTTTAGATTATAATTCTATTAATTAATACATTATCCGTGCACATTTTTTTATTATCTTAGAGGAGAGAAGAGAAAAATGGTGAATCGTTCTTCCAACTATTCACCATAAGATCTATGGACTTTAAGTGTTTTTGATAGATAAAAATCGGATTTGGACTTAGAAGGAAGAAGAAATCAAATAAATAAGATAGAGAGTTTATGTATTTAGTCTGTCGGTTCTCCACGTTGCATTGTCTTATTCTTCAACAACAAAATGTCACAATCTCAGAGATGTATAAACGACTGTTAGGTATAAATTTAACGATTAGAAAGTCAGCAAAGAATATGCACATAGAGCAATCAAGGGCCTATTCGGTGGGACATATAAGATATACTAATCTTCACTCATCTTCTTGTTACTTGATCATTAATTAATATATATTTTAATGTTGTTAGGAAAGAAATGCTTATATGATTGTATACGTACATGAACGAGACAAGGACAAAGTAATGGCTAGCGTGGGTAAGGCGGACATTCCACAACATCTTGAGGTAATTTCTCTAATCACATTTTTCTAGTTCTCCTACCTTATCTTTTGGTTTGGAATAAAAATGACCACCACAAGTTGGGTCACGATATTTTTAAAATATGATTTTCTTGAAATAGGAAGGGATTCCTTCACAACCGACTTACCCGGGGGAACATAGTACCATGCCATCTAAAATGTCTACGGTGGATTCTCTTACCTTGAAGTTTGTTCTTTGGTTTGGAATAAAAATGACCAAGACAAGTTGGATTTTGATATTTTTCAAACGCGATTTCCTTGAAATAAGAAGGGATTCCTTCACAATCAGCTTCCCCGGAGAACATAGCCCCATGCTATCTAAAATGCCTACGGTGGTAGGTTCTCTTACCTTGAAACAAGAAGGGATGCCTACACAGCCGACTTACCTAGGCGAACATAGTTTCATACTGTCTAAAATGCCTAAAGTGATGGGTTCTCTTACGTTGTAGTTTATTCTTTGGTTTGGAATAAAAATGATCAAGACATTGGGTCACGGTATTTTTTAATGTGAGTAATGTGGCAAATGTTAGGCACCGCTTGGTTGAGAAATGATTTTCTCAATTAGCAACAAGACGTTGTGAGTAATGTGGGTGGGGTTTGAGATTCAGGATTCGGATATGATAAGGTTTATCACAAAACTATTTCTTCCATTATATATATATATATATATATGTCGTGTTACTTTTTTTAACAAGATTTCTTCGAAACAGGGCACTATCCCTTCACAACTAGATTATTCAAGCGAATACAGGTCTACTACAGTCGAGGTGGGTTCGATGAACGGCTCTAACTTCTCGTGGTTCATTCTCGGAATCTGATTCAATGGTACAACGACTTGAATTAATGGATCTGGATTACTCCTCTGATTTTGGCCTAGTTTTTCTTATTCGAGATGTATGGTAAACTCTTTAATTACATATTATATGTTCGATAAACCTTTTTAGTCACTTATTTTTATGATTTTATAATTTTATATGTATGTAATAATCTTTATAAATCATTGTTTATGAAAATTGTAAAACCAAAAATTTATCTTAAACATGTAGTTTTCATTGTGACAAAAAAAAGTTTCTTACGAGATTGTACCATAAAATATAAAGTATTAACTTAATCCATGTGTATTAACATCAAATTAAGTTGTTTTTAGATTATAAATCTATTAACTAACATATTATCCGTGCACATTTTTTATTATCTTAGAGGGAAGAAAAGAAAAATGGTGTCTCGTCCTTCTAACTATTCACTCCTTCTAACTATTCACCATAAGATATATGGACTTTAAGTGTTTGTGTTAGATAAAAATCAGATTTGTATTTAGAAGAAAAAAAAATTAAATAAATGTTTAAGATAGAGAATTTATGTGTATTAGAGAGAAAAAAAAATCTATAATTATATTAGATAATTTAGATTGCATAAATAAAAAAGTAAGATAACTAAATAATGCAACAAATGGTTAAGACAATATAAAGAAAGATTTTGATGTGATGATGATTGATACTTTTATTGTCAGAATGATATCTTGTTGATTATAATGGCATGTTAATGTCTTCATTAATTTTAGTATAATTTATAAAAAATATTCTTCAATAATACCTACCTAGGAAAACAAACGAGTGCATCTGTCTTTCTAATTGTTAAACCTCCGAATCGCGATTTTTTCTTCGAATCAGTCTAGTTTTTCTTCTTTTAGATGCATGGTAAACTCTCTAATTACATATTATATATCCGATAAACCCTTTTAGACACTTATTTTCATGATTTTATAATTTTATCTATATGTAATAATCTTTATAAATCATTGTTTATGAAAATTATAAAATCATACATTTATCTTAAATATGTATTTTTCATTGTGACAAAAAAAAGGTTTCATATCAGAGTGTACCATAAAATATAAAGTATCAAATTAATCCACATACATGTGTATTAACATTAAATTAAGTTTGTTTTTATATTATAATTCTATTAACTAACACGTTATTTGTGTACATTTTTTTATTATCTTTCCGGATTTTAGTGGTTTGCCACTCCTCATACCAAGTTAGACTCTCCCGAGCTAGATTTAGACTCCTTTTACAGTGCTTTATCTGACTTTGAAGAAAACCTTTGATTTTGTTTGTTGTGAACAACTCGGGACTTAATCTAGTTCTTTGGCTTGAAAGTTTGTTACGGATGTTTTCCATATTTCTGTGCTTCGGATAACTCTAGATTTTTGTTTTTTGGAGTACAATTCAAATCTCTTTTCTCCTTCTGTGTATCACGAGCAATATGGTTATGGAGTTAATTTCATTTTAAATTAACCATTGTACAAGGACTCACGTCGGGTAATAAGTATATGTTTGATATTAGAAATTAATACACCGCTTTTTTATACTCCCTCCATTTCCATTTTAGATTTTTTTACAGTTTTTAAAAAAAGGTTTTAAAAAGTCAATAAAACCCTTATTAAATCATATTCACGTTAATATTCTGTTGAAGTTTTATATTTTAATTAAGAATAAAATTGGAAATTTTTATTAGAAATTATTTAAAAAATTTAAAATGATAACTATTTAGGAACAAAAACTAATTTCTAAAATGACAATTATGAAGAAACGAAGGAAGCATTTTTCATTGATTAAGCCTTTAACCAAATTAAGTTAAGTTACACGACATATATTTGTGGGTATTTCGGCCTAATATTTTCCCCGGCCCAAGCCAATTTTGTCTCAACCCTAATCACGTGTTCGTCACTTGTACGTCCGAAGACTCCAGGCTTCTTCGAGAAGTTCGTTTCTTCTTTGCTGTCGATCCGCTCTGCTTCTCTTCAAGGTTAGGGTTTCTTCCGCTTCTTCCTCCCTGAGTTGTTCGAATCTCTTACACTGCCTGCATCTTCCTCTTCGGCTGCTTTTTCTGTGGGTTCATGTTTGGTTTGAAAGCATATCCATCTTCCTCTGTTTCGGTTGATCTTGTTCGATATTCGTAATTTTAAACACCTTTGGATTTGAGCGCGGCCTTGTCAAACTGGGTCGTTACCTTTGGATTTGGGCTTTTGTCATTTGAGCCCATTTGACCCGTGGTCGCCGGAAACTTGGGTTTCGGAAATTCTGAAAATTACATAAATACCCTTAACTTTTCAAATATTATCTAAAAACCGCATGGGTTTCTTCTATTCCCCTCCCTCTTCATTTCCCGACTTCTATCTTCAAACCCATCGCCCCTCACCAGCTCTCTCCTTCTCTCTTTCTCTCTACGATTCGCCCCTCACGGTTGCCGACCTCACCTCTCCCTTTGTCGGTCTTCCGTCCCGTATGCCTCAGGTTTGTCTTTAGGAATTTGTTGCTCGTGATTTCTCATTTAGGGTTTCGGTTTTTGATTTCATAGGTCTCGTTAGGTTAGGGTTTGGTCGATGAAGGTTAGGGGTGCCGTCGTTTCTGGTTTCTCAGATTTGCTGTTATCTCTCTGCCTTTTGTTTCTGGTTTGCAAGTTTTGCGTCGTTTCTGGGTTCACCGTTTCAGAGGCAGAAATCGGTAACTTTTATCGAAAAGGAACTACGTATTGGCTTGTTTTCTTTGATATTCTGCAGCAAAGATCATTAAACACACAGGGTCGATAACTCGCCTACTGCATGCGAAAGTTGTTTCTTCATCTTAAGGGCTTGTTTTCTCAGAATAAGTCTTTCTCTATGAGACAAATTTGTGTGTGATTTTGAGGCTTAGAGTTAGGGCTTTGATGGAGCTTGAGTTCCATGTGGTCTGTCGAGCGCTGACAGTGTTGCTTTTCCTCTGTTTTTTTAGTGGGACCGCTGAAGAAGTCGGGGAATCTGACTCGGTGGAAAGAAATTGCGAGTAAGTTGTGGAGTCCAAATTGGTGTAAGGAGCTGGTGGATCATCGGAATTGATAGAGAAATGCAGATTAATTAATTCAGTTTGTATCACATAATCTGATTCTTGCAAGGAAATCTGCGGGGAGTTAGATTCAGCAAATCCATCTGGACAATATTAGATAACATAAAACTATGTTTGTTCAAGGAATCCACCTGAGTGAACATAGTTCTATGTGGTATAATATTGTCCAGACAGATTCGCTAATTAGAATCAGGTTCCGTGATACAATTTGAATCAATTGATATGTATTTCTCTTCCGGTTCTGATGGCCCGTCAACTTTTTCCACCAAGTTGGAGTCCACAGTTTCCTAGGCACTTTCCACCGACTCGGATTTTCCGGCTTCCTCATATTCGTTTTACACCGCCTTATCTGACTTTTGCCGTACACATTTGATTTTGCTCGTTGTTAGTGGAGCAACAAACATGGCTATCGCTATCTTGTTAATTCTATCGCTATCTTGTCTCATGGCTATAGTGTTGGTTTAGATGTTATAGGATAATCTAAGATACGATATGAAAATCAATGGATCAGCAGATGAAGTTGTCTCAATGGTGTGATTCAAAAAAAGTCCTTTAAACACCACCATAGCATTAGCCATAATGTTCTTGATACCGTTTTGGAATGCACACCGCGGCGGAGAAAAGAGATCTGAATTTTGGGGACAATTTTGTCGTCTCCGATCTCAGAAAGGATACAGAAAGTTCTGCCGGTTCCGATTCTGATGGCCCGTCAACTTTTTCCACCAAGTTGGAGTCCACAGTTTCCTAGGCACTTTCCACCGACTCGGATTTTCCGGCTTCCTCATATTCGTTTTACACCGCCTTATCTGACTTTTGCCGTACACATTTGATTTTGCTCGTTGTTAGTGGAGCAACAAACATGGCTATCGCTATCTTGTTAATTCTATCGCTATCTTGTCTCATGGCTATAGTGTTGGTTTAGATGTTATAGGATAATCTAAGATACGATATGAAAATCAATGGATCAGCAGATGAAGTTGTCTCAATGGTGTGATTCAAAAAAAGTCCTTTAAACACCACCATAGCATTAGCCATAATGTTCTTGATACCGTTTTGGAATGCACACCGCGGCGGAGAAAAGAGATCTGAATTTTGGGGACAATTTTGTCGTCTCCGATCTCAGAAAGGATACAGAAAGTTCTGCCGGAGAAAACTGCGAGAAAGAAAAAGGAGGGAGGGTCAGCAGCGTGTGACGATTGAAATGGAAACATAAAGAAAACTTACAGAGCAGCGAGGTAGCCAGCTGACATCCACAGGAACGACAGCGCCATACACTCCTTTCTCGTGTGAAAGAACGAAGGCGTTTCATCTCCCTCTAATCTCGTCGTTACAAGACTATACTCAGCCCCAGAGTAATAGTGCCATTCCTCGACGTACTTCAAACTGACTGTCTGGAGGCGTTCGTCGCAACTGCTCCCGAGTTTCCAACCATCAGCGTATCTCCTGCCAAGCACCGTGGATAAGTTGTCCACCCTCCAGGTCGCTTCCAGAGGATCCACTTTCGGCAGGTGCTCTGGTCCTTCTATGAATCCCTCTCGCAGATTCCTTTCGAAAAACGGATGGCAAAGTAACTTCGATCCTAACAAATAAAAACCGTCCGATCCAGAATCTGTCCAAGCTGTATCTCGGATGAAACTAGCAAAAAGCTTGTCTAAAGTGAACAGCAGGTCCTGAGGGTTTCCTACAAGTGGATTTGCTGGAACCACCTCAACACTCTCAGCGCCCGCCATCCCTATTAGTCGTTTAACATGTCAAAAAGACTTTCAGTCTTCAAAAAAAAAAGGTTGAATCTTGATTCTTGAAAGAGGGTAGCTTTTTTTACGTACCCATGAGACGGCTGCTCACAAAAGGCTTGGCATCAAAGACTTCAAAGTCATCAACATGCTCTCCCGTTCCCACGAATACGACGGGGCTTTTGGCTGACGCGACGCTTCAATGGGGAGAAGATAAAAGACAAAACCAACCACATCAACCGCTGCTGCGATAAAACATAGAACCATGCCAAAAGGCAAAACTCAACATAGTGGCACACTTACGCGCTGAGAGCGCCAACTCCCTTGGGGTGGCCATCCAAATGAGTGAGAATAACAGCTCCTCTTCTGACACCGAGATTTCGCTTGAAGGCTGCAGCTTGATCCAGCGCAGTTTGACCGATACGGCTGTCCACGACAAGTATAACAAGATGCGGTTTCTGAAAGAAGAAAACAACATATCATATCAATCAGCAACGACGGCAAGCACAAAACAAGGGGTCAAAAAAAAAAGGGAACACACACCGTTGCTTCAACAAGTCGGCGCATTCCTTCAAAGAGGGCACCTTCTTGTTCATGGCGGCCACTAGTATCCACGATAATAAGATCATGTCCGTCTTTCCTACACCATTCTATTTCTTGACGGGCTATTCTGGCAGGATCCCAGTCAATGTAGCTGCACAAACACAATTGGCTATTACAAAATTGAGACAACAAAGGAGGAGAACCTTTTAATAATATTATGGTACCTTCCATAACATGGAACCCCAGCGCTCCAAGCGCTCTGCTTAAGCTGTTTATAAGCCCTAAAAGTATCGGCACAGACCAGAGCCGGGCTATATCCCATCTCGCGGTGATAACGAGCGTACTTGACACACGTGGTGGTCTTCCCAGAGCCTCGTAACCCGACGACCAGGACAATGCTGGGGTCACCCTTTGTCGGGATGAATGTAGGTTTGCCCCAATCGAGCACCACGCACATCTCATCGAAGATAGCCTGCATTATCACCCATAATTCAAACCAGAGAAAGAAAGAATAGCAATTCATGAAAGAAGAAAACAGACCTGTTGAATGATCTTCTTCTCGTATCGTTTACACTTCGTCATGATCCTTCGCTCCATCTCCTTCACAACTGGTATTGAAACATCGGCCTGAAGCATAGCTGCGGATATCTCGTACATGCACTTCTCCACAGCACCATCACCTAAGATTTTGTTATTACACATCTCCTTAACGGCGCCGGAGATCCGCCTCCTCGCTTCCTCCAACACCATCCTCACCTCTGTCGCCGTTTACTTCCCAAACCTAGGGTTTGGAATTACTGGCTCTGGTTATGAGAAGACCTAAAATCCCAAGTAGCGGTGGATCAAATCTACAGATACCATAATTATATTAACCTGACAAGAATTAAGGAATACCCCCATCTTCTTCTTCTTCTACGACGGTTTAACGTTTATACGAAAATGGCATTATCAAATAAATCATATGATTTCTTTCTTTTTGTCAGATAGATTCTGAAATCTTTAATGTTTCAAATATTCTGTTTCCGTTTGGATTTAAAGTTTGAAACGTTAATGTCCAACTTAATGGCGGTTCCTTTTGTTAGAAAAAAAAAATTCCTTAAAAAAAATATTTTGAACGCCACAAAAAACACACCCCAAAATTTTATTTTATTTTTTTGGATTCTATACCTCGGTGTGAAGCCAAACAGATCTTCTTTTTTTTTTTTTTGGAATCTTAACACATCCTATAATAATACGAACAAATAAATTATATCAGCTCCGGTCAAGTATAATAATACGAAGAGTTTATATGTGTTGTGCGTCTTATGTAATTAGTGTTGTACAGTAAGTGTCGAAACTGTGAGCCATAGGGTACGTGCGAATGAACAGTAAAATTAGAAGTTGTAATTCATTTTGATATAACAATAACATTTAACTTAGAATTTTTTTAATGGGGGAAAACAACTGCTGCTGAAGATGGTGAACATGAAGTGCATACGGGTATCTGCAATTCAGGAAATACGATAAATTTCGTTTTTTACACTCGTAAACGAATTTCGTTTTATACACCCTTAAATCAATTGCTCTAAACATACATTAGCTCCAAATTTAAATTACAATGAGTAAAATTAGTTTTTAAAAAAATTAAAACCCTAGTCTATTTAGAACATAGGGGAAGAATACAGGTGTCAAAACTCAAAAGGGATAATCGGTCTAGCTGCACTCAGCATGAAATTTTCGGGTCCCGGTTTGGGTTGACCCGTTACGAATCCTAAATACACATCTATTAAAAACCGCCATACAACAACATAGCTCCGGTACACATCTTCAACTTTTTTTTTTTTGTTAATCCGGAAGTTCACCGGGCCTTCGGCCCGACTAGATCTCCCAGAGGATCGGGGTGAATACCCCTCCCCACCCTCAGAAATCGAACCGCTGACGTGAAGGCACATTGGTCCACACCTCAGCCACTCACCCACGCTAGTTTGGGTTCTTCAACTTCATAAATCCAACAAAATCTCTTCCCCTTTCGAGTAAATCTTGTTTAAAAAAATACCACGACGTATATAAGTAATGGAAGAAAACAAATAAATGTTAAAAGAATATATTTTTTGGTTAACCTAATCAGATTCGAATTTTAAATCGCTAATCAATAAATTTGTCTACCTACATTAATCATATCGATCTGTTACCAACCCACAAATAAGTATCTATTTAAGTAGGAAGATTACTACATAGCAAAAATATTCGGTATTACGTTGGTAGACAATCTGTCTCTAGTTCTCCCTAACGAAAAATGTGTTCTTTTCTTCACCATTTACCTTCGCTTAAAACATGTCTTCTAAAAGAACCAATGGAAGTCTTAATTCAAACGGTTCATGCCTCTCTATGTTATTAATGACATTTTGGTGTTCAGAGCGCATGTCTTTCATTGAAAAGTATAGTGATAAAAAGATATGTATTTCCAAATTCAAAATCAAAATAACGATTAGGTTAAAAAAAATAAAGAATTTCTCTTGTTTTTTTTTTAAATTTATTCAACCCATTTGGATTGGGTTTAATTGGATTGGGCAACCCAAGTTGCCATCACAGAGTCTGGTTAAAAGAAACCTAGGTATTTTAGATGATATTCAGAAAGTGAAGGGTATTTCTGTAACTTTGTAAATTTCCGAAACTCGAGTTGAACCACGGGTCAAATGGGCTCAAATGATAAAAGCTCAAATCCAAAGGTAAGAACCCAGTTTGACATTGAAGACGAAACATAGATATTCAACCGGAAAATCCACAAGACGTATTCCAACCTAACCGAGTGAAAAGGGCTTTGACCTAAACCCCAAATCGCAAAAGGTATAAAAACATATGCATACATGAATTGATATGTATATATGTAATAAATAAATAAATAAATAAAATCGATGGGATCACTTTATTCCCCGGTCACTTCCACGCTTGGACCTCCCATTAGGCCTTTTTAGCTAACTAACCCATAGGCTTTAGCCTATACATTATTATTACATTCATCTCTCCTCCATATATAAAACGCCGAATCCAACAACATAGATTTTATTCTTGTATTTTTTTTCTGTAAGCTTTTGTAACTTTCTATTTTATGGTAATATGATTTTTTTTATACAAGTTTCAAAGTTTTTAGTTCTCTGGGTTTTTTATATGGTAGAAGGTATGCACACCGTTCATAAGAAAAAGGGTTATGTGATTTTTCTCTGAAAAAGAATGTTTGCTCTATGTAAATTGTGTGAGATATATAGTTTTATCAAAAAAAAAATAGTGAGATATATATATATATATTAAATAGAAAGGTGGTGAAGGAAAAAGCTTAGTGTACTTTTACAAGAGAATCATCGATTGCGAAGTTCCCGCTGCTTTTGAGAATTTCGATTGTTCCAAATCGTTATTTTATTAAAGAACCCTATAACCCTATTTATGTTTCTTTAATCAATCCACAATTTTTCTTTTGTGTTACAAGTTGACAATTCCTTGTGCTGCTATAATATTAAAATAGTCCTTGTGTTGGTATTAGCATATTGTTTATCACTATTTTATTGTAGTATAATTACCCATCGTACATTTAATTATATACCTACTCTAAATATATACTAGGGTTTTCTTTTAATTTTGTTAATTTCTCTTCAATATACAACTTGACGTGGGTTTACCTACTCAATCGATATTCATCGCCTATGAACACTAATATATATATATATATAGAGAGACCAACTTGCTTTGTATGTATTGCTAATAAAATAGTTGGGGGAAGGTATAATGCACATGGGGAGCTCTTAATCTATTGGATTTTATATTTATAATCTGAATTAGTTATGATATTCTAACAATAATACAGGCTTATGATTAAGGTTAAAGCTGACCCATCCCACAAAATGATCGATGGGCATCTTAATATCTTTACCTTTTCAGATTGAACGGTCCGTATATTTTGATATATATATATATATATATATATATGTGTGTGTGTGTCTCCTTGTGAGTAAATGTTATTGTTATATCAAAATGAATTACCACTTCTTCTACTTATATTATTCATTCACACGAACCCAATGGCTCATATAGTTTTGAGATATCCACATTTTCGGCATTTACTGTACAATACTAATTATATACGACACACGACATGTATAACCCTCTTACGAAACAAAGATCTTAGATACTCAACTTGACCGGAGCTGATACGATTTATTTATTCATATTACTATGGGATATGTTGTCTATATTTGCAAATGTCAACTTGTTCTTAATTTGGTCCAAACTCATGGAATCATTTTATTTATTATTATATAATTAAAATACGTGGACCTATTACTATAATTGAATCAATGCACGGTTACACGAATTGATTTATCTTTTGTTGTTTATTGTTCTTCCGGGCCCTAACCTTCTCTTTTTCAAATTTCAATTAATTGGAGGGAAAATATCATCCACCAAACGTGAAAAGTCCTATGTTCTTTTAACATCAATCAACAAGAAACTAAAAATTAAATTACGAAAACGAACAAAATGAAAGCAAGAAATTGACACTGTTCGTCTTTCTTATGACCAAAGGGACATAAAAAAAAACAGAAGCTGTTGGACCAAACCGACCGTTCATCAGTGATTGAGAGGGGACATGTATTTGTTTCGTATTATGCCACAGGGAGATGAGCCCCCACGTACCGAATTATGCAAACGATATCGACCTTTTCTTGTTATGCAGTGAATTCGATTGTCTTCCGTGACTGCGACGACATATTTGTCGAGAAATCGTATTATATTTGTCACGCGGATTATGACGTTTCCTCTTATAGTTTTTAGGTGAAACATGCATTTACAAGAATGATAGGCATATGTATCACTAGTTTTAGATTTAATGCAAACCCCTTTTGTTTTTTTACGTACTTTTTGAAATTTATATTCACACTGCACTGATATAACTAAATCCATATATATTAAAAAAAAAACTAGAAAGGAAAATTGTACAAATTATAATTTTAATTTCGATCGCAAAACAATGAACAGAAATTCAGAAGAAAAAAAAAAGAGTGGGTGGACAAAATGGACCCAACAATGAACAGAAATTCAGCGGACATTGCCACCAAAAAGTCATTTCAATTCGCGAGATCTTAACTTCTACGGTTCCAAGTATGGTTGTCCCCTTCGGCTTCACATTCACACCACACAACACCCCTTTCTCTCCTCTTCCTCACTTTCATCCAACTTTCACACCTTCATTAATCACTCCATCCCCCGTCGCGATTTGATTTTCTTCATAACCACATTAAAATATAAATTACTCGAGCCAAAGTAATAATATATATATATATATATATATATATATATATGTGCGTGTATGAAGTAATTCGTAAACATAAATCGACCGATAACTATATGCACCCGTTCATATAAATTCAACATGACGTTGGGCCAACTAACTTCTACAATAATGACAGGAAGAAGAATTGTCATTTTACATTTTTTGAGGAAGAAATTATTTTGGAAGGAAAAAAGGAAAGTGACAGTTTATGGTTTGGTCATTGACGTCGAAACGCCTACATATATATCTAATCCAAGCCTTTTCCTTCTCCATGTTGTTTATTATTATTATTTTTGTATGAGATTGGAACGTTGTTCTTTGGTCCTTTCAAGATCCGACATATCTAAGCGGATCTCTTCCTCCATCTTTGAAAGCTCACCGTCCTCAATCCGGGCAATATATCTTAATACGATAATTCTAAATTTGAATTACACTTTTGTTGGACAAAATTATGTATTTTATTTAATCTTTTGCTTCGGAAGGCAAAACGCCAGAATGTTTGTGACTGATTATTATGTACATATGAGTAAGTTCGGTTCCATAATCAGATTTTCCTTTATAATACTCCACCATGTATGAAATATATAAATGATTATTGCGCAGAACGGATGTTTACTGTCTGAGATATCGTCCGGTCCGAAGAGATGTGAGATGTTGTCCGGCCCAAAGGGATGTGAGACGGGTTATTATGGAAGAATATATATGTATCAAGGAAAATGGTGAGGCATAATTATAACTGGTGAGAGCATGAGGAGCGGTGATGAAGCTACTTAGCTTCAATCCGATTGTTATTTAAAGGTTGGTTAAAAAACAACGTAAAAGTGAAAAAGAAAGTTACTTTAATTTCCTATGAAGAGAGCGGTGCAAATTGCCCTTTAGGTGAAAAATATTAACGTCAGAATCGGATTTGTTTTGAGTTAATCATTTGAAAAGAGCGCTATTAAAATCCTTAATCTTCAATCAAGTCAACAAGTTACGTACGCAAAAAGTTGTGCCGCTGACCGGTTTGCATTTTTAAAAACAAACCAAATGATTAAATTAAGATTGACCAAGTTGATTAGTTCTTTTTTAATATTGGGAATTTACTGTTTATTTTATTTGTTAATAAAAGAATCTCCGACGAAAACAATTAAATATATATAATTTTGGGCAAATATTAGTACGAGATCATGTGATTAAGCTGACAAAACGACCGTTTATCTTTTTAATAATGGAAAGTGTGTATGGCAGTTTGAATTAATGAACCGACCATTAACGCTTTCTTAAATATATATATATATAAGTGTAAAATTACCGTATAATGGGAATATAATAAACTTATAATGTAAAGTCATTTACTAAAAACAAATTAATCGTATAAGTGATTTTAGACGGTGAAGTGTGAATATGAACGCATGTGAGTTCACGGAGTAGCGTGCCTTGAGAAGCGTGACGGTTTTTATTGCGACCCCCAAAGATCATATGCTTCAACGGTCTCGATTCAGTTTCACATTGATTAAACTCCGACACTCCAAAAAGACTATTATGCCCCTGATAAATCGATTCTATTCTTCTTGCATGAATCGCGATCAGGCATGGTTTTTATGTCTAATCACTTGGTAATTTTGTACATTAGACGCATATTTGAGATGCCAGTAAAACGATTTATTTAATTTTTTAAAATGTAATAATCCGAGTTGGAATTGGAAATGTTACATTTGGACCCATGATTGCAAGTGGGTCCCGCGTTCTTGGGAGAAATCAGAGCCGTTAAATACAGTGCCAAAGTAAACGATAGGAAAGGTATCTGATTCGATTAGCACCAAAGACTTCTATGGAGAGAAGGTTTGCATAAAAATCTACCCTTTTTTCCCGATAATAAAAGAAAAAGAATAATCGATTAGATATAGAGATCTAGTGGACGAAGAAACTAAGAGATTCTCATACGATGTTTTATGTACTCATTAATCTGTTTGACAGCCAATTCGGATTTTTTTTTTCTCATTTAGACACCAACCCTTGAATATGTCGAAAAACATTATTTTAAAGTTTACAACGAAATATTTTATAATTATTCAATGTGACGAAAAGGATTATTGAATAATTTTTTTGGCGGATATTTCATGATCAAGCAGAACAAAAAGAAAAAACGGAAAGAGGGAAAAAAACACACATTAAAAAAGATGGGGTCCGCTAACAAACAGCTATAAATAAAAGAAGCTTGCTTTGATACACAAAGCTCCTCTCCTCGCCCTCTCTCTATTTCTTTCTTTTTTTAATTTTCCGATCATCTTTTTCACTTCGCCATCACCCAAATCTCAAACCTCTTAACTCAAAAAGCCGCCTATTTTTTAAAGCTTTGTTCGGAAGATCTTTTTGCCCACATTTACCCCTGAAAAAATGGTCGACGTGGACCGGAGGATGACCGGTCTGAGCCCGGCCCATGCCGCCGGCCTCCGCCGTCTCTCAGCCCGCGCCGCCGCACCGCAGACTCCAACGGTGAGGAACAGTCTCATCTCTTTCTCCTCTCTCGCCGACCAAGTAATTGCCCACTTAACGAGGTCGGGTATCCAAGTGCAACCGGGCCTATCCGAAGCCGAGTTCGCTCGGGCCGAGGCCGAGTTCGGGTTCGCGTTCCCGCCGGATCTCCGCGCCATCCTCTCCGCCGGAGTTCCCGTCGCCGCAGGATTTCCCGATTGGCGCTCTCCCGGAGCGCGGCTCCATCTCCGCGCCATGATCGACCTCCCAATCGCTTCTGTATCGTTTCAGATCGCGAGAAACGCCCTCTGGTGCAAATCGTGGGGACCGAGACCATCCGACCCGGAGAAAGCGTTACGGGTCGCGAGAAATGCGCTGAAAAGAGCTCCTCTCATGATACCCATTTTCGACCACTGCTACATCCCTTGTAACCCATCGCTTGCTGGTAACCCGGTTTTCTTCATCGACGAGACTCGGATTTTCTGTTGCGGTTCGGATCTTTCCGATTTCTTCGAACGCGAGTCTGTGTTCCGGGGCTCCGAATCCCGCCGAGACATCCTGACGAAACAGCGTTCTGTGAGCGAGAAGTCCGCCGGGTCGTCGTCGAATTTCTCACGGAGGAGCTTGGATATGGGCCGGGCAAACGGGTCGGGTGCCCCGAGATGGGTCGAGTTTTGGAGTGACGCGGCGGTGGACCGTCGCCGGAGAAACTCGGCGTCGTCGATGTCTTCGTCTTACTCTACGTCTCCGGACAGGTACTCGGACTTGCCCAGATCCGAGATTCCGAAATGGGTGGACGAGTACGTGGATCAGATCGGGTCGGTTCTGCGGGAGGGCGGATGGAGCGAATCAGACATAGATGACATCATCCACGTGTCGGCGTCAGGGTTCTTCGAGGGCGAAATGGTAATTTTGGACAACCAAGCGGTTCTCGACGCTCTGCTTCTGAAATCGGGTCGGTTCTCGGAATCGCTCCGGAAAGCCGGTTGGAGCTCCGAGGAAGTATCCGACGCTCTGGGCTTCGATTTCCGGCCGGAGAAGGAAAGGAAGCCGGTGAAGAAGCTCTCGCCGGAGCTCGCCCAACGTCTCGGTAAACTGGCAGAGTCGGTTTCCCGGTCGTGATTCGTTTCCTTTGATTGCTGTTATCTCCTTAACTACACAAGACACGTAAAAATTTAAACGTTTTAAAAAATTTACAAAGGGTATGTAATTTTTACATTTTTACCGTACGGAAGGAAAATATTTCATATTTGAACAAAAATGAAAAAAACAAAAAACAGCAGGAGAGCGCGTTGTACTAAGAAAATACAGTGGAAAAAGAATAATAAAATATCCGGAATTTGTATATTAATGACTGAGCTTTAATAAATTAATTGGCTACAGCTCATCTTTGTTTATGGGAAAGGGTTTATTTATTCGATTTCTTTGATTCGTAATCATTTTCTCGTGTTGGGCTTTTATTTTATTTTTATCTACGGAATATTTAATTACCTTTTTTCAAAATCCACACCAACGCACGTGTGACGACTTCCCAAACAGACAATAACGTTTGCTGGGCCCGCGTTACAGTGGCTGAGACGACGTCGTTTTACCCCAACATTTTAGTACGACGTCGACCAACGCAAATCCATTTATTGTGGGCTTTTAAAAGAGCTAATCTTGTACTAATTCCAAAGCGCGTGTGTATCGTGAAAATCTAAAAAAAATGTTTTTTTATTGTTCGGTAATTCTTTTGGTTTTTAATTATGTAAATATATTTTTACTGGGGAAAATCAGAAGCACCGTGTGATTGGGAATTGGCAAATGAATGGAAGATGTCTGAAGGATAAAAGTCTCTTCTTTTGAGAACGAGAAGAGGGCGTGACAGAGATTGAGATTTGGGATTGGATTTTTTTTTCTTTTTTTTTTCTTTTTCTTTTTTTAAAATTAATATTTTCTTGGAATACAAAGAAAAGGATAATGGGTTTTGAGTTCTCCGGAGAAAAAAGAAATGAAAGTAAAAATGAAAATGAAAAAAAAAACCTGACAGAGGAAAACTCATCCGCACCGTTCAGCTTTTAAGAGACAAAACAACGAGGTGTTTTGTCCGTCTGGCAAATCCGTAAATATTCGGCACTCACTCAGGTTTTTTGTTTCTTTTTTAGATTTGATTTAACGTTACTTTCACTAAATTAAAGTGGGTGACTTTTTTTTTTCCGGGACATGGATGCAGATGGTGGGAATGATTCATGTTTCCAACCAATGTACCTGACGAAATTATAAAATATTTTTGTGGAAATAAATTGTATTAATGATAATTAGACAAAGTTCAGCCAAAACCGAACATGAATTCGACCGTTGCAGCTGGTTACCCTCGACAAAGTTCATAAATAAATAATGTTCGCATATGTTATGATCATCACCAAAAAAGGGATATTGCTTGCTGTTGTAATTCTTTTTTTTTAGACTTTTTTAAAATAATTGTATAAAAACGCTTTCGATATTATTCCGAATACGAATTCGCCGTAATTCTCGTTGGATGAAACCATTTCCATGTGATTTCCTTAAATTATTAACAATTTCATTTATGCAACATTTCAAGCAACTAGACAATCGCTAGACACTTGGAATAAAATATATATCTTAAATTATTATTTTTTTGCTTTAAGCCCATGTAATTTGAAAGACTATGATTAATTAAAGCTTTCAAATGTATTCAAGCGAAAAACAGTGAATTACTATTATTTTTGGTAAAGGGCGGATATCTATTGGGACAAATAACTGTTGCATCAAGTATGGACATTAATTATATATACATATATATATATATATATATTGAATATAATCACAAGCATAACTCTCAACTACACCGATTACAACATCACAGCATCGCCTGATTACGAATTTATACACCACTGAAGAAATGAAAACTCACAGCTCAAAATTTTTGAACATGATTTTGTTTTAGTATTGGGATTTGTCGGTCCATTTTATTAAATTCCTAAAACGGTCACTAGCACCATCCGCCCTCACTGACCGTTGCTCATATCACGTGCGAACCCCACCGCCCATCACGTGCTTCCCATCCTTCTTTTTCCCTCACGAGTAAAAGCCCCCAAAACGGGAGAGAAAAAAAAAAAGAACAAGTACAATCACATAAAAACTTAGCAATTAATAACAATCACATAAATTTAAAAAGGGGGACCCACCGAAAGAATTTAGATCGAATCGTGGCCGTTGATTTGACAGATGAGGTGGGGAGTGAAGCAGGAGATTTGTTCGGACATGCAATCGTCAAAATCGATTTGTTTGGTTACCACCACCTCGACATTCTCTCTCAACAATATGGCAATGAAATTATAACGAATGTGAATAAATTGAATTTATAACGTTTGTAATGGAGAGCATAAAAGAGACAAGTTACATGTGGAGGTGTCACAAAAATGCGATATGGCCGGTCAGTGAAACATAAATGAATGTGGGTGGGACCCCCTCTCCTTTGGTTATGTCAGTAAAATTATTGTTCCTCTTCTCTTACTTTCCCGCCACCTCATTTATTATTTGCCCTCTCCATCTCTCTCCTTCCAAACAATTTTAAATCCATATATGTTATTACACCAGACCAAGCCGAGTTTAACGGATTATGAGTTTGTAGTTGTGAAGTCGGTATCGAGTTCTCACGGCCACTCCGACGCTCGTTCGTGCAAGAAGAAGAAATGACACCGGAGTTTTAACGAGTTCGGTTACCGAACAAACTCGGGCCTACATCTCGGCCGGACGATGCCGGCGAATCCACTAGAACAGAACGGAAAACAACCGAAGACGGTGGTCTCCACAAAACCGGAGACTCACCAACGATGTGTCCAAGAAACAACCGAGAAAGAACAGAATACGCGACGCCTTACCGATCCCGACTCACCTACCTTGAGCCGCCTTCGATCCTGAGCTCCGGCGACTCCGAGAAACTCCTCCGTCGGCATAGACCTCTTTCTCCTTCCCCGTCTCCGTTCTCGCCTCTGTCACTCTCTCGAGCACCGTGTCTCGCAAAATGCCAAACACATTAGGGTATTAACCCTAAAACGCAAAACGCCACGTTTCGGAAAGCCTCTCCCTCACGTGGAGGGTTTAACTTTTCCACCAAATGGGCTTTTAGGCCCAACAGTAGTTATGGAGCTTACAATTCTATATACATAAACATATATATATATACATATGAAGATAATCACTGTACACAATATACAAAATCAGAAACCCCCAAGAATTTCAATTTTACGCCGCCTGAAGTAATTTGCTGCTACTCTCCGTGTCTCTACGCGTCACCTTTGGTGTTTTCCGGATCACCTTAACCCGAAACGCAGCCTACCCAAACCGGAAAAAAACCAAATGGGTTTTTACCAAACCGGAAAAACCCAAACGGGGTTTGTACCGGAGATGAGATATACTATGTCGGTTTGAATGCTTTTAACAGGGTAAGGATCTGTGTTCGTACCTTCTTATCCGAACCGAACTCGATTGTGTCGGATGGACGAAACCGCGCCGGGAAATTTGGTGTCACCCGACATCTCCTTCCCACGTTACTGCAAAAACAAAAAACAAAAAACTTTTATTTTTCCAGATATTTCTTACAGTCCCATATGATAAAACAGTGAGATGATCCGTTAGCGGAAATTTTCAGATATTTCTTCCCCAGTTGGGCTTACTGGGTGATAAATGTGCCATATTCGCTCCGAAGATCCGTCACGAAGAAAGCTCCATCCTTGTAAGTAATACGGGCATGTGCCTTTGAAACCTAAAGCAACGAGATCCGTCAAGATTCAAGTTCTTTCTGTGGTCTGTTTCAGTTACTGATAGAAGAGAGCTTATACACACACACACATAACAATGTAACCCGTAACGTTACCTGGGAAGTTGGAATGGCAATGCACATTCCTGGGAAATCCTTGTCTGGTTCGCTCCTGAAATCAGCCAAGACAGAGTTTGAGATGGATCGGTTTCATTGACAGTTTTTTTCCTCCTATAAAGAAAGTCGGAACTATACCCGATGATGCAAGGTCGGTCCTCGTCTCTGTTTAAACATATGGTTTCCCTGACGATACAATCATTTCCGCAAGGAATCAGATGCCAACTGCGAGAACGAGGTAAGCACAATGGCAGTTTGAGCATAGCTTAGTCTCGGTACGTAGAAATATAAGGCGATAATCTGATTATCGTTTGTAATACGTACTCCCCAATTATGGCACGCTCAAGGGCATCGTTGTCCTGAAACCATCTCTGCAACTGGTCATTGGCCTTCAAACAAAGAATTTAGAGATTCATATCCAACATTCTAGTCCTATAATACTTCCTTTGAAGAATGAAACACAGGGGAGCATCATCATACTTTGTCTGACAATCTGCAACGAGGTAGCCTTCCTTCGAGTTTGGAACTGCAGAAGCACATATGAAAGCTGGGTAATGTTCGGGAAGAAAGAAAAAGAAAACGATAATATAGAAAACGAGACATGAAGAATCTGACCTGTTACCTCCGAGGACCCAGTTGAGCATCAAAGGAATTGCCAAATCAATGAAGAATCTCCCACAAACTGTTCCCGGGTGCGGTATTCTTAACTTCGTCAAGAACTGCAAAAAAACGATGTGGAAAGTCCCATTTGAGGTCATACAAGTAACGAAAAAACGACTCTCTTATTAGACAGTACAATGAAATACTCACAGACAACGGGCCGAGACCCACACCCAAGTATCCTTTGTAGGCGGAAGCCATCATTGCAGCCATTCTCGCCATCCCGTGGATAATGGCAACCCTAAGTTTCCTTGCTTGCTCATAACTACCGAACCCAAACAAAAGGAAAACATCACAATTCATAAGCTGCCCCTATATCAACAAGTTCCGGCCCTAAGCCATACGAGCTTCTGAGAAAGAATATGAGACCTCACCTTCTTAAAGAGGAGACAACATCTATAGGTCTATTGGTTTCCACACTATGCCTCCACGCATGTTCGAGCTCCCAAGCTAATTGATAACTATCCTGTAAGAATAAAGGGACCTTGTTTAGTGGAACTTCCGTCATTTTGATTAGCAGATCAGAAGAACTAAAGCATCGGAATTTTAGTTGATGGTGACACCTCAATGGCCATGCATCCACCTTGACCCATGTTTGGCTGCATTGCATGGATGGAGTCACCGAGTAACGAAACACGCCCTTTTCCCCATGTAAAGCGAGGAGTTCTATCATAGATATCCCGTCTAAGAATCTCGTCCTCCTTTGTGGCATGCAACAAGTCTATCACGTTGTCGCACCATCCTTCAAATATTTCGAGCAGTCTTTTCTTTCTACCTGTAACAGTAACACATGGACCAAATGAAGAAAGAAAAAAAGGGCTTATTTTGATGAAAACCGTACACTAAGAGAAAATGTCAGAGAATCAAAGAGAATACCACTGGGAGGATCACTGCCACCAGCCGACTCCTTATGAAACGCATACCATTGCATTTTTCCCCCGCCGACATCTGAAGAAACAAAATATTGCTTGTGTCCCAAGAAAACCCGATACCTTTGGGGGAGGGGGGAACAGTTTCAATATCAGAAAAACAAAAACCCAATAACATGGTCTAAAAATAGAGATAATACACACAAGAGGTACGTTGAATTCATCTAACGCTACGTACCCGACGGACTCGATGTCAGCTGGTATAAAATCAGCAATGCCGGTATAGCAAGTGTAACCTGAATACGTAGCCTCCTCTGGACCAAATAATTGACTCCTCACCTAGAAACAGCAAAGTCTCAATCTTTACCTTATTATGTCTTTTTCCCACAAAGCTATTACTTATCCATACCATTAATTTCATACAGAATCATACTTTTGACCATATGCCATCTGCGCCAACAAGAAGATCACCTCGGTAGCGCTCTCCATTCTCAAGCTCCACGGTGACCTGAATACAGAAACCATACGGCTGAGTTTGAAAATTCTATAAGCTCAGACAGAGCCAACGACCACGAATTGGACAGTGTCTTAAATATTTGATACCTTGTCCTCGGAATCCAAGAAACGAACAACATTACTCTCGTTTTTAATAACGTCTTCTCCGACTGCACGAGCTAGGATCTGTTGTAGAGTCATTCGGCTAATAACTCGTGTGACGGGGAGCCCCCTTTCCGCTGCAGGAGTGAATGTATCAAACTTGATATACCTGTTTGGTTAACATCCATGGATCATTCCACTGGAGTAAATGCTTATATTGCAAAAGACAGAGACAGATCAACTTCAGATACCACTCTGTGTAGATCTAAAAGCTGAATCTAAGATATTAAACGCGCAGAAGAACGATTCAACATTCTACAAATAGCAGAACAATCAGTACACCGAGAAAGAAGACATGGGATCTATCTAAGCAACAGTTATTCATATACAAATTGAAAAGCCGGAAATCTTCAAGGAATTCGTCACCAACCAATCGATCAATATTCTCGATGCCTTACCAGGAACCGGAAACGCCGTCGACAAGACCGTTGATCCGATCACCAGTAATACAACCAGCCTCCATAACTTCTTCGGCGACACCCATATCAATGGCTTCCAGAGCAGCTAAGGCATTGCTCTGTATCTGAATCGGACCTCTGTATTGTCCTTCTCCTCTAATGGCGCTCAAATCCTTCTCGAACACCACCACGTCAAACCCTTTCTTCTTCGCCGCCAGCGCAAACACCAACCCTCCGATTCCGCCGCCGGCGACCAGAACCCTCAGTTTCTTCTTCCTCTCCGCCGCAGTCTCCCGCCGAACCTTCTCCACCGCCGCCGTCGCCTTGACTCCCGCCACTCTCCGGCGACTCCTCGCCTTTGATCTCCCTCTCGCCTTTCCCGGAAAAGACGGGAAGTCCAAGAAGAAGTACTTATCGGCGGGACTCAGCACATGGGTCCTAGAGAACTCGATTTTTGATGGAGATGGATTCAGGGAATAGCAAAACGGAGTAGAACCCATCTCGATTTCCCGGATTTTTCAGGGAATCAAATGTTAATATCAAACGAGTGAGAAAAGAAATGTCTAAGCTTATTCTCGTGTCCAGATAGCCTACGAAGGACACGTATCCAGGGGATGATTTCTCAGGTATCACCACTTCACCTGCATTATTATGTTTTTTAAACAAATCAATGAGATCATTAATATTCATGCAATACAAGAGAGGAACCAAACCGTCGAGAAGTAAAAGCCGACGTGGCATCACCACCATGTTACACCTCATTCCCCACTCCTTGACAAACATCTCTGCAGATGTTGACACCCGTCTCGTCCTCCTTGATCGACCATTAGAATGCATATAATATTATACACATGTATTTTTTTTAATAATATAATATACATATATTTTTTTTAATATATATATAGGAGTAGATCGATACATCAAAACGCTTCGAGCTGTAGTCACCCAAGTCTGTCAGCAATCAGAAGTTTAGACAGTGGGGAAGGAGCAGCAGTAAAAACAGATGTTCCTAATAGAAGAGTGTGACCTGTAGATGCCAAAAAATCTACGCACGAGTTAGCTTCCCGATAAATATGATAGATTGAAACCTTCCATTCTTTGGCTAATATAGTGTGAATTGCTTTGAGGATGTTCTCATCTACCGTGTGAGTATCCTTTTGATTATTGATTGCATCCACCAAAGATCTGTTATCAATTTCCACCAGAACTTTTCGAAACCCACTTTGCCATGCTAGCCGCAAGCCGATCAGAACCCCCAAAGCCTCTGCTCTAAAGACTGAGCATATCCCAAGGTTTGAGGCGAAACCAATAGACCAATTCCCCCAATGATCCCTAAGTAGGCCTCCGCACGAGAGGTCGGGTTTCCTCTCACACTCCCATCCGAATTCAGTTTCCAAACATCCGGAGGAGGTGATATCCAAGATATGTCCTTCGCGATTCTGAGCTTTTTTGAGTTAGGCATTCGATTGTTGAACGTGTTGATTTGCTGAGAATAGCCAAGATTTGAGCGCCATTAGATTTGACGAAGAATTTTAATCCATATTATGGGAACTTTTCCCTTTCGGCGAAGAATTTTGGCAGGTTCCTTAATGATCTTTTGATTCATGGGAACACCAGAACGTAATACGCGGGTGGTCCATTACGATGTATGTGTTAACACTGTAACTTGTAATAATTAAAAGAAGGCAATGATTTTATCAAATATGGTGTTAAAGAATTTAGAGTTTAATTCGAGATGCGCAAGTTTCTATGAACACGAAAGACGTGAGAAGGACCTAATCTAATAGCATTGACATAATCCTGAGGAGAATGATTCGAAATTCCAGGGAGAAATAGCCCGAAGACTCTGGCCACTCTCTGCAACCATCCCTCCTCGAACTCTGGTCCCTCTCTGGCCGCGATCGTGAAGCTTCTCACGAGCTCCATGGCCGCGCTCGACGTCATCCGCACCATCGCAGCCGGACAAAAGAAGTTCTTGTTTGGTTCTTCCCTTAAAACCTGCAAAAATATCATATCATTCATATTAATACCATTCTCTTTATATATCAACCAAAGCATCTGTGTAGTTAATACCTTTGCGTCATATCGTCGGTCGTAGAATACGCACGTGCCGAAGTGCTTGAACATCAGGTCCTTGTCATCGAACGGCAACCTCGGAACTATGTCGTTGTTATAAACAAATCTGTAATACGTGATATCATGTTCTTCCAATCTCTTTTCCATGAATGCTGCGAATCTCGAGTCACCAACCCGAGGTTGTCCGTACGTATAAACTCCGCGGATCTTGTCCAGCAACGTAACCTCGCCATCCATTATCAGCACAGCCACGAAAAGGATCGCTAGGGCCCCACCTAGGCTATGACCAGTCAACACGAATCTGGTCCGTTGGTTATGACACGTCAGAGTTTTCAGCTTGTCCCTGATCGCGTAGTATGCCAGAGGGGATTTACGGTTGGGGTTGGGGAGTGGGTCCTTGGGCCAACCGTAATTTTTGTGAAGTCCGAGGGCTTTCATGAAGCCGCCATGGATTCTCCCGATGTCCGGGAGCTCGTACCAAGTAATGTCGAAGTCTGAACACCAATCCTCTGAATTGAACGGCTCAGTTCCTCTAAAGGACACCACGATCGTTTCCTCGCCGTCCGATGATTCGTCCGACATCATGAACGCTTGTGTTGTGTTCTTTTCAAGATATTCTGACAAATCAAAAGCACGAACATTAACGAAGGCTCGATACAAAGGCGATGCGGACCAAAAAAAATGAAATGAGCGTGGATAGATACAGTCTGTGCATACATACCGTTCCAGTAGTTGTCCATGCCCAAGAACTTCATCTGCAAAAAAAAAAAAAAGAGGCATTATGATCATTTTACTTTTTTATCCTCGAACTTTGATGTATGATACATATATATATACACACACTCACGGACCTTCCAATAGTCCTCGACAACGTACTTGATACGAGCAGGGTTCTCATAGGCAAATTTAGAGGCCATGATGCACAATGCCGCATAGAATCTATGCCCGTCTTCACGTCTCGCCGTCGTGTCTAAGCTTATTCTCGTGTCCAGATAGCCTACGAAGGACACGTATCCAGGGGATGATTTCTCAGGTATCACCACTTCACCTGCATTATTATGTTTTTTAAACAAATCAATGAGATCATTAATATTCATGCAATACAAGAGCTAAAAATGGAATCGGAGAAGGGAATTCAGTGCGTACCTCGGAGGAAGACGTCGGAGAAAGTGTTGTGGGAAAGGAAATTCAATACGAACTCGGAGGCGGAGCCGAAGAGAGATAAAGGAGCTGAAACGAGAAGGAGAATCTTCAAAACGACGACGGAGACGAAGATAAGAATCCGGCGACGGAATCTGGGTTCTGTGGTGTCGGAGCTGTCGACCAATCTCGGCTTCTCGACGTCGCCGGAGAGAATCAGACGCACCAGATCCGACAGCCGAAGCTCCTCCGGTTTCAGAATCAGATGCCCACTTGAAAACCTCTTGTCGCAATCCATGTCCACGTCTCTCTCTCTCTCCACCGATGCATGTATATGTGGCTTTGTCCCTGTGTATATATATGTACGAGAACGTAAGATAGTAGAATTGTAATAGATCTTTGCGTCTGAAACAGGTTTGGGTTTTATTTTTCCTTTTTTGTTTCTTCGGTTTTACCCCTTGATTTGGTTTTAGAATCCCGCGTTTTACCGACTACGGTAATTAACTTCTTGAAAAAGGAAAAAGCGTCTACATAAGATTTATTATTAATTTTCCTGGGTAAAATAAAAAAGGAAACTTTACCAATCGGTTGTAGTTAACTTTCTTTTCACTGTCGCGAGTTTATATTTTTTTTCTTCCTTTTTTCCTTTCTATGGTGACAAAGCTTGTCTACTCCGTACGTTTGTTTTATCATTTGTTTTTTTATCATTCTACATGTAAAAGATGTATTTCTCTATCATATTCATAAATCAACCAATTGCAAGCCAAAACGTGGCATATCTTGCCATTTCACTTAATCATCCACAGAGTCCATCTAATCTGTAATATACTAATAAAGGAAGTGAGCTGCTCTTTTTCGCATAATTTTTCCAAAATTTTAATTAGCAGTTCATCCTACTTTTTTTAGCTTTAATATAATTTAAATATTGATGGTTATAACTTATTTCAAATATCTGGGTAATAAATTTTCTTTTTTTATATTTGTTGGTATTTTAATTTTTATATTTTGCAATCTTTATTTTAGATTAGTTGTTTCCGTAAATCTCACATTCTAAACAAAAGCATACAACATTATAATCCGATAATTAGACTTTATAGAATACTTGTTGTTTAAAATGTATAGGTTTGCATGAAATTGTTATTTTTATTAAATTCTAAACAAACTCATGAGGCCGATATTGCCATATTGGATGCTTTAGGCCCGTGTTCCTCGGTAGCCTTGTGTAGATAAATGGGCCCATCTAATATGGGCCTATACAAATGTTTTCTAGGCCCATTGTTTTCTCATCGCACCGTCTGGATACTCATTCACAAATCATTAAATTAAGATTTTTAGTTTTTTTTTAAAGTTGATACATAAATTTCTAAAATCAATAAGAAGTTGGGTGTTACGACGTATCAAATAACACAGAACGACGTTTATGTCGGTTCCTAACAAAATATTGATGATGTAATTTGTATTGTGTGATACAAAACGTTAGACAACTTATATAAAGTTATGTTTCACTTTAACCAAAAAAAAATTAACCAAAAAAAAAAGTTATGTTTCACGTTATTGGTTTTGGATTCCATTAAGACGGGTATGGATATCAAAATTCATTTTGAAAAAAAAAAGAATATCTTATATTATATTAAATATTTCCATTTCTGAAATTCCCTATGAGGCGCACCGGAAATAAATATAAATGAGTACATTTAACATTGCACAAGGGACCAAGAAAAAAAGAGATAAAAGGGATCTGTCTTCTCCCAACACCTACCCATTTTATAATTATATATGTATATATGTACGTATATTTTGTTTTGTCCATATTCCCCCAAATATTATAGCAATTTTCTCTTTTCTTATATTATTCAAATTTCCCATTTGGGGGGGTTCCTAACTTCTAGATTTTGACTTTTGTTTGCACCTCTTCTTATAGTAAATACACGTTTCTTAATTCATCAATGTAAACTCCAAGTTGGGTTGATTTTAGTTTTATTAATCGATTGTTTGATATTACGTACTTTCATATAAAAATGTATTTATTTACGAATGTGGCGACGCTGATAGAAACAAATAATTTGGTTCTAGAAATTTCGTCTAAACTTCCAAGAAATGTCATTTTCACAAAGACAGGCCAAAACGGGGAGATTACAAAAATAATATAATAATGACAATAATAAAAGGGTGCATGAACTTTATCCTGTCACATAGAACATGAGAATTTATCCGGAGAAAAAAAAAGAGCAGGAAGCATTGAAGCAAAAATAATATGAATAAATTCATATAACAAGTATTTTTTTTTTTTCATTCGAACAGATGGGGAAAACGAATTTATTTTATAAAATTTAAAAAGTGGGGAAAAGAAAAAAGAGGATAGAAATGTGTCAGAAGAATACAGGGCACTTGCCCTTGAAGATATTATAAGAAAGTCTCTAAATATAATCTTTAGGGATATTGCAATGATCAGAAACCCTCTGTGGTGATGTTGGGACCTTTGTGGGATGTCTCACGTGGCTCTATTTGCTTTGTGCCTTTGATTTTTTTATTTTATAAAATCAATCAATCATGCATATCTCTTTCTTATTTTCGTTATTTTAATTCGTAAATAAATGGGTTTAATTTGATTTCAATTATTCATATAAATTCAATGTTAGTGGAGCAACAAGCATGCATGACGCTCGGAACATGAACACAAGTCTACCGCTACCTTGCCTCAGGAGGCAACCTACCCAAATTTCGTGATTATATACATACATATATATATATATATATATATGTGCTATAATTACTTGTTTTTTTAATACACCGCCCAAATTGGTCAGTTCTACAAATATATATATATATATATATTGGGTCCTAGATTTCATGCAAATCTATTTAATGTGTTTTTGTAGGGGTTTGCACATTGTTGCTCGTATAGTCATATAGTAAAGATGCATGGCTGAAATTTATATGGTTTTTCATCATCTTTCCTATTTTGTAACTCGATATATAATGAGACTCGAGTTACACCTCTAATTATCAAAGTGAATCTATCTGAAAATGTACTTTCTATTTCCAATTATTACATCGCAAACTCATGAATAAGCCACGGATTAAAGATATAAGAGTGATTAATTAGTAAGCCTTTTAATTGATAATTGACATTACTATGTATATATATATATATATATATATATGAATGAAATGGGCCGTTGGATTGATGGAAAGAACGTTACAACATTTATCCAACGCGGATGGATGGAACGTAGAAGACGATCGATCTCGCCTCTCACGTTAAGTGGTCCTTCGTCTGTTCCTTTAATTTGTTTCCACTGTCACATAGATTCTGCATCTATGCAACAATCCCCATAAAAACACGACGAAGATCACAAGTAACCTCCACAAACGTGAAATCCAGTTTTAAACCCAATCTGCAATAAAAACCCTAATGGACCCAAATCTATCCTCTTCATGATCAGTCGACCCGACCCTTCATTTATGACGTGAGAGATCAGTTTTTTTTAATATGGTCATATATATATATGCAATAGAATTATCAAAATTTTGAGTTGACATTATATATATATATATATATATATATCAGATTCCCGGTGGGAAATAAGGGAGGAGTAATGGATTTTTTGGGGGGTGAAAAAGTAAAAAAAATGCGTTTTGTTAAAGCCGGCTTTTTTATGGGGAGGAGGAAGCAGTGAAACGTCATCGTTTCGTTGCTTTGCATGTTTCAGTGTCAACACGACAGGGAACCCCAAGTTCGAAGCACTTGATGTGTCTGGCGATTTTTTTGTCTAATCATGGGGAAGAAACACAGTCATGTAAAAAATAAATAAAATAAATAAATAAATAGCAGGACTTTGTCTTGGATGTGTTAAATTAAATGCGATTTTGCACAAATAAAGTTAGACAATCTTGAAAAAACAGTGAGCTTTGTGATGTCTTAACAGAAATGTAATACATGTATAAATCATTATATATATATATATATATAATTGTTTAACATAGTGTAATACATTGTGAATAAAATAAAGGGGATATCGTCAAAAAAACCTCGTACTCTTCCCAGGTCAACGAAAAAACCTTATACTTTTTTGTTTATCAATTAAACCTTGTATTTGGTGTGATTAACCCATAAAATCCCAAACTTTTAAAAAATATATATTAATTGTATATACACCAAATACAGGGTTTAATTGATAAACAAAAAAGTATAGGATTTTTTCGTTGATTTGGAGAGAGTACGGGGTTTTTTTGGCGATTTTCCCTAAAATAAATAAATACATTATAAATTTAGGTGCAAATTCGGGTTTGAACACATAAAATATATAAAAAAGATTACTTTTGTTGTTTGCAATTTACTTGTTTTCGCCCCTCTGGGTTTGGTCATGATCCCGGAGTGTCATACGCACCAAATGATGCTTTTGGTTTTTGTTTTTTTAAATTTCGACATCATCGGAATATTGTTGATTAAATTAAAACATAAATAAACTTTGACGATTTTCATGTAAACTGAAAAGCATTTACACCAGAAGTAAAGTCAGTTGCCGTAAGCAACTAAGGAATTTAATATGTGCGGAAAAAAAAAAGAAACAAAAGTTAAAGCTGCTATATATATATATATACACCTAATATTAAATAATTTATAATTTAACGGAGTTGCAATAAGTCGTTTTCTGATCGGTTTTGATAAGCGTGCCATACGCTGGATAGCATCCAAGTGAAATCGGATTCACCGTTCCCCCACGCATATTTTATACCCTTTATACTATATTTACACACCTTTTTATTTATACATGTATAAGTATAAATTATAATCTATAAATCATGTTTCTGAAAATTAGAAAAACTATTCATATTAAAAAACACGTATTTTTCATCGCGTCGACAAAAAAAAAGTTTTATACCATCAAATTACCATTATATCAGTAAGCATAACGTTTAATTTCTCACATGCGCACGCATATTAATATTAAGTTAAGCAATTTTTTGGGGATTATAATTCTATTAACTAACGCATGATATGCGGCGAAGCAATCCGTACATATCCTCACGTCATGGAGTCCTTTTTGTTTTTCTTGTTTTGGACTAGCATATCATCATCGAGTTTATTATATCTTAATCCCTATGTTTGGAATGTTATACCCATTAACGTTCATCCCTTGATTCAAATTTTTAACCTCTCTGTGACAAAAAATAATGTTTGCTCAATAAGGTAAGCCACTTGCATTCTTGTATTTTTCTCGTTTTTCTTGAACAATGACAAATAGTATATGCTATATTTTTCATGTATAATACGATCGACTGACATAGATACAAATGTGCAATTATAAATCTTAGCTTTTCCCTTGGTAAAATATGTTCCTTTATTTCGCATATACGAGCGTAGGTGCATATATATATGTATAATCAATTGAGTGGAATAACTAACGACCGCCATGGTGTATGATATATAGAATATAGTTATGGTACATATACGGTCAAATGCAAATATAGAGGGGGTGTTTAGTGACATTTAAATTTTGAGGACGATGATGAAAAATACGATAAAATATGAGGAGACTAGCGAAATTTATCGCCGGTTAGATATCTGTTGACTAATCACGTGAAGAGTTATTCTATAACAACGGTCCAAATATGCATGCGAATGCGTTGAATGATATCACAGGTACTAGCCAACCGAAGTAAAATATTGTATCCGTATCGTATAATATTCCGCCGATGGCCGGAACAGATTCCGGCGAACAGATTCATTGCCATGGGTTCTGACACATTTCATGTGGATGTGGGGTAACATTTTATATAATTTATTATATTATTACACGAGTCTCTTTCCAATTATTTTTTCCACAATGTAAATATTATTATTAAGACAGCAAAGCAAAAGGACCTTAAATTCCGACCCCGATAAGAGATAAAATAAATTCTATTATAACCAAAAATAAAGGAATCGTGGGAGGAGAAAAACATTAGGGGAAAAATAAATAAAAGTAGAAATCTTCATAGTGGAAAAATAATACGTCCGAGAGCGGTT